TTCAGCAGAGAGCTCCAGTGCTGAGACAGCAGTCCCAACAAGCCTGGGAGAAGCCTGGATGTAGTCAGAAACAGGCAGCTTTCAGAGACGACTGAAGTGAGCTACCTTAACTGAAGGGTACAGCAATGTCCAGCAGCTGCTCAGGGGCTGTGAGAAGACAGCAGAGCTGTCATCTCTGCAGTGGGGCAATCAGCAAAAACAGGGTTTCGCAGGTGGGCATTACTGCTGGGGTACTGTGCTATGAATGTGAAGGGGTTGAAAACCAAGTTCTGCTTTCTGATGTGTAAATGATCACGTAAAAGCAAATTTTTACAGAACGGCAATTTCTGCATGCTTTCAGGTAACAGAGCAAATGCCTGTTTTTCTTCTGGAACCATGTATATTTAAAAATATTTAATATTATAAAATATTAATTTTGTGCAGAGAATATGGACTTAGTTTAAATCATAGCAAACGGACAAATGCAGTTAGTCTCCCAAGGACTGTGCAAATGTCTTAATTTCTTTAAGCATATTTCACCGACCTAAAATGTCAGCTTGGCAGCAAGGTAAGATTTTAAAATAAATTTTGCAGTGTATTGTATCCACAAAAATGAACATAGCCATATCAGTGTGTAGTACACTTCATATTTTATGTGCCTAAACTCACTATACTTGTGAAATTCTAGATGAGTCAGCGCCTCTGTTTGGTTGCTTCCTTGTCCTTTCTTGCATTTTTTTTTCTTCTGAGTAGTCTGGGCATCAGTGATTGAGGCTGGGAAGAGAAATGCACTTAGGTGTCTGGTGAAATCTTTGACTGTTATAGAAGACATCAGACATGACTCATGAATACTGGGAACTGTGTCACAAAGGTAGATATTTTATAGCTTTAAAAACCCACAAGATACATTATTAAAATGACCACAAGATGTATTAATTTTTTTTTTTTTTTAGATATTAAGAATTAGTGTTGTGGAATAGGGTTTTCAGTGAATTAGAGTGTGGTTTTGTGCTCAGTATGTGGGTGTATTTCAAATGTTACTCTTATCTTAGTAATTATGTGAATTTTTTTTCAAAGTAAAATACCATTAAGTTACTGGTAAAAATTTTAATGGCCTTAGATATTTCATGTACTACTACTCACTCTTGAATCACATGTAGTGAAAGTAAGACCTGCTGCAGCACACATGTGTCTGAGCTGGCACTTGCCTGCACCACGGGGGCATGGAAGGTGGGGATTTTCCAGACATTTACAGTCCAGTTTCTGCATGGAAAGAATCAACCCCAAACTAATAGAGCCTTTGGAACATAATGGCTCATGGTAACTCAGCTGCTTGCTGATTCTTACAAAAGCACCATGGTTTCCTCCCACGTACCTCTGTATGCAGAGGAGCCTACAAACTAACACCTAAAATTTTCTGTAGTACAGATACCAGTTCTCAAGACTTTCATCAGCTGTGGAGATGAACTGGCTTGCTGCAGTGCTCTGCATGACACATTTTAATGCTCCATATAACTTTTTTATTTGTTTTGGTAGTATCCTTTTTCATAGTGCTTTTTATATCTCAGAAATCCTTAGGCTCCTTATGCCAACTCGTTTCCTCAAGCTGCCAGCTTGCTGCATTTCCAGTCAGACCTTTGTTTCCAGACCATTTTCCTTCCCCGTTTTGTGTGAGGCATGGGCAATAGAGTACAGTTAATTCCCTTCTGAAGAAGAAGTCACAGAGACAGCAGCAGCTGCAAACACCTCCCATCAAAGCTGCAGACAGAAAACAGCTGTCAGCAAAATGGTGTGTTTTACTCTGTACTTGCATCAGAAATTGTGTGGCAAGGAATGAATGCATTCCCCAACAGAAAGTGTATGGCAAGGAATGAATGCATTCCCACTGAGGAGCTCAGGGACTTGCAGGGCCACCCCCTTGTTATGGTCTGCCTTTACTCTGAAAAAGCAACCCAGTAAGCAGCATGATGGTGATCCTTGCCTAACTATATGGATGCAGTTTTGATTTTTTCATTTGAGATTCGTTTTCAGAGCTGAAAAGTGCATCCAGAAAAGAATCACTGAGAAGTAAGTGGGAGATAGTCCAGCAATGGGCTTTCTAATGCTATTCAGAATAACATTACCCCACTGTGTTTGGAAAGGACTGAATTAGGGATGGGAGGGAGAAAAAGCCCTACAAAATGCTGTATTTTATGCAGAGGGGGCTGCCTGTGAAACAAGTAAATGAAACCTAAGGGCAAAGGCATACCTATATAGATGCCTGTGTTGGCACAGCCACATACAATCATATAATACACTGCAATGGAAGCGACCCACAAGGACCACTGAGTGCATCTCCTAGACAAAAGTATCATTTGAAAAGACATGGCTTCCTGTAATGATTTAGTTAGAGGAAGTTTGGAAATAGATTTCTTTGCTTTTTACTTCTATTTGCTACAATTAGATTCTGCTTCTTCCTTCTGCTGGGAACTCAATACAAGAACACCCACCTGAAAGAAGCCCATAACCTTGGTGGTTTTTGGTTTGGTTTTTTTTTGTTGTTGTTGTTGTTTTTTTGTTTTGTTTTGTTTTGGGGTTTTTTTGGTGGGTTTTTTTTCCCCTTTTCTTTCCCTGTTCAGCTTTTGATAGGGCCTATTGAGAATTTACATGTACAGGATCTACTGCTCCAGCTGGATCTCTACAAACCTATGGGGCCTGACAGGATTAAGCCAAGAATCCTTCCAGAGCTGGCTAATGTAATCATAAAATGTCTCTTTTGAGTGGTTTTGGGAATCCAGAAGTCCAAACTGACTAGAAGCTGGCAAATACTTGTCCCGATTTTCAAGAAGGGCAAGGAGGACCCAGGAAACAACAGACTTGTCAGTCTCACTCCAGTGCCTAATAAAGGTATGGAGAAATTTATTCCGGGGGTACCAAAAAACACCTGAAAGACAACACAGTTATTGGTCACAGCCAGCACAGCTTCATGAGAAGCAAGTCCTGCTTATCAAGCTGGTTCCCTTTTTTGACAGGATGACCCACCCAGCCGACCAAGGGAAGCCAGTAAAGTTTTTGAAGCTGTCTCTCATAGGATCCTTCTGGACCTAATGTGCAGCCCACAGCTGGATAAACACATCATGGGATGGGTGAGCAGCTCAGCTGGGTCATGGGTCAGGCACAAAGGGTTACAGTGAATGGGGTGACATCAGACTGGGAACCTGTCACTGGTGATGTTCCACAGGGCCCCATCCTCAGCCCTCTGATCTTCAACATCTTCAAAAGTGATCTGGCACAGAATGGGAGGAATACTGAGCAAGTTCACAGATGATACAAAACTGGGAGGAGCTGTGAGTCCCTCCAGGGCAGGGAGAGGCCCTGCAGATAAACAGTGCCATGGAAAGGGACCTGGGGCTCCTGGCAAGTTGAACATGGGTCAGCAGTGCATCAGGCACAGCATTGTCAGCCAGGCAAGGGAGGGGATTGTCCTGCTCTGCTCTGAGCTGGGGCAGCCTCACCCCGAGTGCTGGGGTATAGCAAAACTACAGTTTTGCTATATGAGGAGCTGCTGAGGGCACTTGGTCTGGTCAGCCTGGAGGAGACTGAGGACAGACCTCACTGCAGTTACAACTTCCAAATGAGGGGAAGAAGGGCAGGCACTGGTCTCTGACCAGTGACAGGACTTGAGGGAATGGCCTGAAGTTGTCTTGTGGGAGGTTTAGTTTGGATATTAGAAAAAGGTTCTTCACCCAGAGGGTGTTTGGGCACTGGAACAGGATCCCCAGGGAAGTGGTCACAGCCTGATAGAGTTCAAGAAGCATTTGGACGATGGTCTCAGGCACACGGTGTGACTCTTGGGGCTGGTGCTGTGTAGGGCCAGGAGTTGAATTCAATAATTTTTGTGGATCCCTTCCAACTCATTCTGTGATTCTGTAAATAATTACATCGTTCACTTCCAATGCTTTTTACATGATTCAGAAGGGTTTTAAACTAAGGGTAATGTTTATATCTTATTAGTGACCCTACTAAACAATACATACATGAGTCTCCTATGCTCTGATGAGTTATGGTGACCATAAGTGTTTGATGGCATCTATAGCTTTCTTTTTAATGTGGAGCCTCATTCTATATCACAATGTTTGGATTGGCAACAAAAAGGCCCCATAAACCCTGATAAAGGGCCAGGACTGCCACCTCTTTGCCATTTTTTAGGTTTTTTGGTGTTTGTTGTATTTTCTGTTCCTTTTCTCAGTTGCTACCATGCATGAAGGGTCATGAAGTTGTAGTGAGGGGAAATGTTCAAGGTGATACTGCTGAAGCAGACTGTAAGAGCTGTAGCAAACAAAACAAACTACTGCTGTGTTCAGTACTTTAAAAAAAAGCAATTATATTGTTTTGAAAGAAGACAAAATTGGTACTATTTTAAAAAGCGTGTAGTATCTTACTTCTCCTGTAGTTTTAACAGTACTGCCTATGAAGAGGCCTACAATCTATTTAATTTCTGCATATTTTGTGCAAAAGTGTTATCCAGCTCTGCATTTTTTTCCTTACACAATGAGAAAGGCAAAAAGCAAGCTGGTTTCCTTTGCTAGCCTTTGCAGAAAAACCTGTGAAATGAAGCGTAACTCTGTTATGAATGGGATCCTGTAATAACCACGTCTGTTAGAGTCACTACATTAGAAGTCATTGTGGTGTCTCAGTGCCTTCTTGGACAATTCCCCAACTCTTGCTGTATTTGAAAGAACTTGCTGAGTGTCCCTTAATTCAGGTTTTGACACTATGCCTGCAAAGGGGGAGGTCAGAAAATGTGATGACGTGAAAAGGAACTGTACTCTTTGTACTGAAGACAATGTTGAGGCAGGCTTTTACTTTAGATTCTGAGTCTAAGAACTTTTTAAAAGTACCCCATTTATTTTTTCTCATTAACATCCTTTAAGTGATGAGTTCCAGGTTCTTTTCTCCTGCTGCAAAAGAAGGAATGAAGTCATTCTTCTTCCCATGTTTTTAAATTAATGTTGAACCACAGTGCAATGGAATGACTATACGTACTTTAAAAAAATTTATTTTTATAATTTTATTATTAGCAAAGAGGACTTGATATAAAACAATAGAGTACAGGAGAAATAAGTTCACATATTTTTGTGGTTTAAATTCTTACTCTCTGAAAGGAACAATTAAGATATCTTCTAAAAATGTAGAGATTCATTGATCAGGAAAGAAGAGATACACTTGACATATCATTGCAAAATAAGCACCACAAAGGTATGAATGGGAGGTCTGACATATCTAGTAAAATTTAACCTAAACATGGCAGAGAGAGCATGATGATCTTTGTTTTTTCTTCAGTCCCATCCCATCACCAGGATGATGGCAGGTAACTTCCCACAGTTTATTCTGCTTCTGTCTAATCTTACGAGCCCCACCCCAGCCTCTGCTGATTTTACACTGAGGTTTTATAAATATGAACAGAAGTTACAAACAAAATTTTAAGTACACAATACAATTTCATCCATTTTCAGATTGCCCAAATTAATGAAGTTGTTCAAATCAAGAATCTTTGGCATCTGCAAACCGGAATGACTGTATTACCAAAGCGCAAGAATAAATCCCAAAATTCTTGTATCAAAGAATTACCTAGAGCCAGAGTAACACGTGTGTGTGTGTAGTTTGTTTTGTGTGCATGTGTTCTCAGTTACAATGGACCTCTGGAAATACAGAAAGGTAAATATTTCTGTCAGCTGATTGTTTTAGCAGTCACATAATCCTTCCTTTGATGTCCTGGGTCAGTGAAATCCTAGTACCACCGGGGTTTAGTAGATCTATTAAAAGAGTTGTCTGTGATCTTTCCTGCAATGGAAACAGCATTTAAAGTTATTACTCTGTCACAGTGAAGGAATATCTGTGAATTCTTGATTGCCCCAGCTTTCCAAATTGAGTTGTATTTTAGGTTACCAGTAGAGTGTAACTGTAGCTACAGAGTTAACAATGGTCTCTTTAGCTTCCTAAAGCTACCACAACAAGGTCTGGAGAAGACAGGGAGGGATCCATGGTGGAAGCACTCTCTCTCTTGGTTATTAGCAGGTTACTCTGAAAATAATGTTGGAGGCAAGTTACCAGAGCAATACTGTGTGATGTGCTACAAATCCACATACCTTCTCATCTTTAGCCAATAGTCCTCTTAAACAGTACTGAGGTAGCTTTTCCACCTTAGGCCATTTAGTGTCTAACATCAGGATATCATAATGTGTACTGATTCATTTTTTGAGAGAAAACAGCAAAAACATTTCTCAAAGGCTCTTAGGAAAGGTACATCTTGTTTTTTGCTCTAGGGCTCGACTCCTGTTCCTGCTGAACTGAGCCAGTGTGTAAAATCAGAACTGATATCAGCTCAGTAGGCACCGGAGGACGGGTCCATCAACAGCCTGGAACAACAGCAGCAGCTCTAAGTTGTTTCCGACTGGAGCTGCCACCATTTCCTGCAAACAACACAGTACTAACCTAAAACTGCAGAGAGGATCATGACAGCATCCATTAAAGAGAAGACTATAAAACAAAAGCTTTATTGACAATTTCAGGTTAAAGTCACAAATGTTATTTCCTCTGACCTTTAGGGAAGCATGGTAACCAAATTACTGTAGGCAATGCCTTACATTTGCAATCAGACTGAAAACTTAAGGAGCACTGTTAATTCTCAACTAAAACTCAAAGTCTTTGGTCCTTCCCAGGTTGCCTCTGCCTCTTATTCTCCATACACTGAACCTCGGACACATGCATTCATCACAAATCTGCCCGTTCAGCAGCAAGGGATCTCAGCCAGCAAATGCTCTCTGCCCGGCAGAGAGTCTCCTCTCCCTTCTCTTCAGGTGCAGAACTTAGCCACTGTGAACAAAGAGGAAAACAATCACTGTTCACCAATCAGCTAAGCTCTGCACCTCGCCAGAGAGATCTCGGTCTCAGCAGAGAAAGTTTTCGGAGGAGGTTCTTCCATGATGCTCTGCTGCTATCCTCTGTTTTTGGTGGGTTTGGGGATTTGTTTCTCTCTCTCTCGCTTATTTTTTTTTCTGCTGTGTGGATGTGTGTTTTCTGTTTGTTTGTTTGATAGATGGAGAGGATTCCACGCTGTGCACCCATCAGACTGTTAATGGTGAGTTTCATGCTAGCAGCTGTGGTCATGGTTGCGTGGTAATCCCTGGCAATGTGATTTTAATCTTAAGTCACAAATCATCATGCCAGGAACCCAAACAGCCATAACATTAAAAGAAAGCTGTACAGTCACACAGAGTATTGTACTCAGTATCATTAGATTTTATGTTATAGCTAACCATGCACTTCCACTCTGTAAAGTCAAAGGGGTAATTCTAGACTATTGCTAACACCCACACACCATGTAATCTTCCTGTGCTAAATATTTACCATCAGAAACTTGTAGAAATTTTGATTTTATTGTTTCTGGCCTTCAGACACTTGAACACACCTACCAGATTGAGATTAAGAACTGTTGAACATAACTCAAATTCCTATGAGTCCGTGATAATTGGGAGTACACAAAAGAGTCTCTTTAGCTGTAACTATTTTAAAGGGTGTCTGTCCTACCCCACCACTGATATCCTGCCACTCTACAGTCTGATCCACCTTTCCCAGAAAGTTTTCTTGGCAGGCACAGTTCTTGTCTATACAGAATAACAACATGGCTTTTCATAATCAAACTTGCTTTCATAGTATCTGTCATTGGCTGTATTTCACAGAAATACAGCAAAAAAACCAATACAAAATCAAGTGGAATTCAGTCAAATACTGCTAGAACAGGAGAAAAGATTTTTGCTTGGTATTAGGCGACAATGTTTTTGCTAAATTAAGAGCCTGAATTTTGATACCACAAATCAGCTGAAAAGTTTTGTGAACAACCACAGCAATCAGTCTGTCGGATGAGTTATATGATTAACCAAAAAACTGAGGTATGCTGTACTCGAAGAAACATTCGAGTACACTTAATGGGTTATAAGTTAAACATGCATGTGCAGACACTGTAAGGCTACCTCCAGCTGCTCAGACAGAGAATTGGAAAGATCTTTGCAAATTTATAGCCTACAGCAATCTTCATTCCATAAATATTTTTGCAATTCTGCTTTTTCTGGTGATTCCTCTCCTTTAATTTCATAAACAAGCTAGCTTCTTCCTGTTAAGGCTACTTGTTTACCTCATAATCAATATTCAATACCTCCATAACCTTAACACAAAAAAATGTGAATTATCAGCTTGTTCTCACATGATATATACTTCCAAGTCCACAGTTTCATATTTCCACTGCGGGATCAGGCTTTTTTCAAAGACCATGCTGCCTGTCAAGTAAACATGCAGCTCCATTAGACAGAAATGCTCCTAGCACAATTGAAATTTTTGTAAGCAGAGTTAAGAATATAGGATGGGAAACAACTGTAGGCAGAGCTTGGCCTTCTTTGGCCATTTGGACTTACAGTTGCCTCTTGTACAGTCCATTACAACAAAGCCATTCTCCACGTTCTCCAGCTATGCCTACATGTATGTAACTCACTGCTCCCGCAGCTGGACTTAAGAAAAAGAAAAAAAAAACAAGCCAACAATATATATAACAAGAGTTATTTCTCAGCCTAAGCAGCCACAAGTTGTATGGTATGCCATAGTTTACCATGTCCACTGAGCTCTGCATATTCTTTGTATATGAAGCAAAATCAGGGTGTTAGGATTAAAACAAAAAAAATCACCTTCTCAGAATAACATCTCTGCCACCACTTTGGCTGAGGATGCATCCATATGTTCTTGTGCTGCAGCAAAGCATTTCCGTGCAAGTTCCTGTTGTTTTGCATCTTCATTCACCATTAATTCACCATAGAGATACACACCCATAGCCTGAAAGAGGAACATATCACACAAGCATCCCGCCACCAGTAATAACTAGTTAGCTGGGGTTTTGCCATTGACCCTCTAGTATTCATTTAAACTAAAAATAAAACAAAATAGACAATCCAAAACACAAAAAATACGATTTACTCTCTAATGTCTATTGTCCCCCCAGAAGAACGAATTTTCTCTGTGTCTCTTTAGACTAAGAATGGTTGTCTATATGCTGTGTTGACTCTGCAAAAACAGATTATTAATGTAAGAATTTTGTGTTACGGCATGACAAGAAAATCACTCCTTACTTCACTTTCCTTGCCACTGTTCAAGTTGAATACTGTTTCCTTTTACCAACTATCTGGTTTTTTTCCAAATGTCCCTTAAGAAAAAAGCTTCTCCTTCCTTCAACAGGATACACATTTTCTTTCCAATTGTCATGTTTACTCACACATCCATGAACAAAGACTGAAGTACTCCAATCTAAAATTCCCATTTGGCAATTCTGTAACTGGACATCAACTGAATACGGTCACATTTGTGTTTCACTCCCTTTATAGCATAGATACAGTTTAACATGCATAAATTCTGGTTGGGTATGAAGACAGGCTTTTCCTGACTATTTATTCTGAAATAGCAGCTATAAAAAAAGGTAATAGGGCTCCTGTGGGGAGATCTGGGTCCCTTTGACCACTGCCAACAAAGCTCTGGCTCAGGAAACATATTGGAGATTGTCTTTTTTTTCCCGATCGTACATTTTTTCAGCTAATTACAGGAATTCAGTAAATGTTAAACTGCACTTACCAAAATAGGATTACATATGTGACAAAATATTAGCAGCTTAGCATGCTGACTTTTACAGTTATTGTTTGGACACTTGCGGGAGCAGAAAAATTTGGACAGCATTGAGAAAATATAATTTTTAATGCTATTCCTCGCAATTTCTAGCATTGGCTGGTAAGCCCTAAAAACCCCTTCAGCCAGAAGAAAAATTTAAAACTCAAAAGCAACTGAAGTAAAAGGAGGAAGTCCTATAGTAGCAGGAACCTGCCAGACTCCTTGCCAATTCTCTAAGCATACTGTGATGCCAAGAGAACCAAAACCTGAGATTTCCAAGCTTTGCAGCTGCACCAAGGTCTGGCAGCCACACAAATGGCCTTGGAGCTGGGCTCCAGTTGCTCTCATTGAGAAATTTTTAAATGGTGACATTTTCTTACTATAGGAACTACCTTCTTTACCCAGTATTAATAACTCTCCCCTAGGTCTAAATATTAATATGCAGTAAACACACTAGTGTTTTGTAGAACTTCAAAGGAGTTAAACAGTTCATTTGCATTTTTCCACAGACATTTAAAAATGCCATGTTACATGATCAGTACAGACATGCAACTGCTCTGATTTATGCACTAATCACACGAGAAGCTCGTTGTGCCATTCACTGTATGCATGGCTGAAGTAAACAAAATTAAGATTACATTAAAAAGTTGAAAAAATGTCTTTATTTGACATAATAGCTATTCCTAATATAATGCAATTCTGTATGGTTTTATCAGCTCAAGGAGTTCCTGATCCCCGAACCCCCAGGTTCTGCTGGTGGTTATCTCCATCCTTTCATAGAATATAAATATGCACAAACCCTGTAACTCCTTATGAAATAATGTTATTTTATGTCTTTTTGTTTGTTTGTTTTAATACAGAGCTTGCCAAGAGCTCTGGGGCCTGCTTTTTGCTGAGATATAAATAGGAGGTATACTTCTGAGCTAGAAGAATGCATGACAAACTGCAGTAATTCAATTGTTGCCTGAAAGCAGAAAATCCTCATTGGCTGTAAATAGCTTTGTTCATTGTCAGCATAAAAGGGAAAGACAGTGTCTTGCCTAGATTTTGACGTATCTTTACCATTTTCTATTTTTTAACAAACACTTAAATATTTAAAATTCATTCTAGGCTGTGAATGTCTCCATTTTATTGGGCTCATAGTGAATAAAGATAAATAAAGGTGAAAACAGAAAAAGAACAAGGCAGAGGTGCAATTAGAATTCTAAGTTCACAGTGGCCTAAATGAAAGGCCACAGTAAGGGAATCATGTATGTCCAGCCTTTTAATGCCTTCACAATCCTCTCTTACCATGTCCCTACCCATGGAGAGGCTAGTGTCACTATGATATTTTATGAAACATCCTTTGCTAGGATTTTTTCCCTCCTGAGGAGCTGAGGGCCTCAGGAAAGAAGTGTAAACAGTAACTATCTGCTGCTGTGGAATGCAACAGGTGCAGCTGTGATTGGGGCACGTTGGTTGTTTCTAATCAAGGGCCAATCACAGATGCAGCTGCATCGGACTCTGAGAGTCACAAGTCTTTGCTATGCATTCTATTCTTGTTCTTTCTAGTTTCTGATCAATATTTTCTCTCTATTCTTTTAGAACAGTTTTAATGTAGTATTTTAATGTAATATATATCATCATATAGTAAACCAGCCTTCTGAGAACATGGAGTCAAGCCTCGCGTCTCCACACATGGGGAGTTCACAACAGGCTAGCATTCCCTGGAAGTGCTGTACTACTTCTGGCTGTCATCTTCAAAACTGAGGTTACCACAGTACTGACTGCTTTGCACCTACTTGCATTGACATTCACAGCCACACTTACCTTCCTCATCCTGCAAAAGGAACCTGCTGAGAAGTATGTTCTTAGCATCACTCATACCTCTGGCTTGCATAAAATGCAAGGGGAGGAGGAATTCTATCCTATTTCACCACTTGACAGAGAATTAGCAGTCTTTAGGTTTAGGTGGGGTTGAGTTATCTACTACCCTAAGTGGCTTCCTTAAACTACAATGTTTAGGGGACCACAGAAGAAAAAAATGAATACACAACCAAGTTTTTGACAAACTGCAGCAAGCAAACATATTAATTTTTTTTTTTGCTTCAGCATAAGGGTGTTAAAAAGTTAATTGTTTTCAAAATGCTAGTAAAAATGTAACTTACTTGATCCTCTCTAAGGAATCTCTCAATGTCTCCATACCCAGGCTCATATTTGTGTTTAATGACAAGTTCACACCACCGATGGCGAACCTTGGGGAAGAAAAATAAAACTAGGTAAAAAACAAACAAACAAACAAACCCCTTGTATTTTGTCTGAGTGTTGATAATATATCTGTACCAGTTTGGCTTTTTCATCTTTTTTGGGTTTGTGTCTTTTGGCAGGCTGCAGCCTGACAAGTCAGTCAGCTGGAAAAACGAGCCAGAGCTCTGTGCTCCTCAGCCTGGGCTTTGGAAATCCAGGATGCCCAAAGACAAACTCCTGATTCTGTGCTAGAAACTAACCCAGATCCAGGCACACATCTGCAGCATCTTCACTGCCACTGTTTCCAGTCTTTAACTTTCTTCTTTTTAAGTTAGACTAGAGGTTGTTTCTTTCATATTGTCAAAAGGGGGTCATGAGGGATGGCAGGAAACAAAGATTACCACTGCAAAGGTCTGGAGAAGCCGCAAAATATAACTGACAATATCCCCTATTTAAGTGTATCATACAAGTGATAAAAAGGCTGTACCAATATTAAATCCATGCCAAAAGGGAAAAAGTTACATATCAACCCATGAGACAGGGAGATTTCACTTAAATTAATCAGTTTTGCTACTAAGTTTTTAAGCACATTCTTAAGCATTTAAAATTCATCTGCATTTAAAAACCTGTCATGCTGTTCTACCAATGCACATTGATAAAAGAGTTATTGACACACTGTAACAAAGTTTGCAAGCAAATTACAACTGAAAAAGTGATTTTACTTAAGTAGTATGAACATGAATTATATGTGTGTTGTCTTTACATTTTTGACTTTGTTCTTAGCCACTCTTGTGGCCTAAGTGTCATCTTACTCTCCAGAAAGGCTTTTCTGATTGCAGGCAGTGATCAGCATTTTATATTTTATATTCCATTAGCAATTCAGCACTGATAGTAAAGGAAAACAGTTAAATGGAATAACTCCCAATGCTTCTGTTCCACCCTTTTCTCTTACCATCTTTCAAAAGACAGAGCACCTAATGAAAATCACCTTTCATAGTAAGAGTGAAATGTTAGCAGTTTTAGTAGTTTATGAAACTGAGTCCAAATTATGCTTATATAGTGTAGCTGAATATGTACCTTTCTCTGAATGACAGATGTAGTGATGACATTGAGAACTGAAGACAGAAAGGGAGAATGGGGAAAAAGGTACTGTTGCTTTTGGAAGTAAGGTTTTGAAAATAATTTCCTTTTCATCCTAGTCCCTGCCAACTTTTTAGCTGTGGAAAAAATTTCATAGAATTACATTAGATTAGATGTCAATCCTATTAGCATAATAACAAGTGATAAATGCCGACAGGCCCTGTGTACCTGATACCTCTTTTTAGCTGACCACTTATACAAAAGTTTGAAGACACCTTATGAAAACAAAAAACTGCAAAGTTTTGGAGTTGGGTGGATTTTACACTCACCGCATTTAAGATACTAAATAGCTACAGTGCTGTGCATGATAGGGAATAACTGCTCTGTCTTACAGCTTTTTGCTGACAAAATAGCAGCTGCTAGGATTCCTGCTAGTGGAACCACAGCTAAATTTACAAAAGAAATGGCTTTCCAAAATTCAACTCACATTGCTGTAGATGCCCATATTCATAATGCAGACCTTCAAAACCCTACCCAGCTGCTGCTTCTCTCAGGAGACACTAAATGTTTCTCCAGTAAATCTTCCCAGGCAATCCAGCTTTCTTACAGGGTGTTTCTCAGCACCAAGCAGCTCCTTGCCCAGATGAAACTACCCAGACTCAAAACTTAACCACACACCTATCTGTAAGATAATTTAAGCAAACAATATAAACACATTTAAAAGACTGTAGATACGCTTTACTCTGCAGATTCCTCCATATATAACAAACAAACAAACAATCCAAACAGGATTCCTAATGTATTCTGATAGCAATGAGGAGAAACATGAGGAGGAGAAAGGGTCTGTGGTCCCCTCCACTGATCACTGCTCTTCTACATCTCATGATCCAGCAGTTACAGCATTTACCCAGGAGGTAAGCAATCAAGTGCAGCTTCTGTGGCTGCTCATGACCTCAAATTGTGTCTTCAGTGGAATATTTCAACAGCAGGGATGAGGCTGTCTTCATACCTCCTGGTGGAGCTGTTATTTCCCCTGCAGTTATTAAAGTAGTTATTGATGTAAATGTGGAGTCAAAAGACATAAGGGCCTACATTTCTGAGTATTCTTTAAAAAAAGTAGGGACCTGGCTGAAAGAGCACAGGAGCCAGTTTGCCCCCAGAGCACCTTTCTTGGTGCAGCATTGTAGCTGCATGGAGGGCAGAACAGAATTTCTCTCTGTGAAGGCGTTCATGTGGTCTTACTTCCTCACATATTAACGTCATGTATGACTGACACTGCATCATGGCCTGAGCATCTGAATTCCAAGGGCTTTGGAAAACACAGAACTAAGCTGTGCCTGTTCCCTTAACTGTTCTTTCCTCCATATGGTTTCTGTCCTTGGCAACCAACCTTTATTCAAATAGTTAAAAAGAAAAATATTTATTTGTTGAGTGAGATCTGAGACAGCACACACTTTTCTTTCTCTCTTTCGCTTTTTTCCCTTTCTTTCCCAGGGCGAGTATAAATCCCAGCACATTCCCAGACCTGAAATGCTGGCACTTTGCCATCTGGGTAGGAGCAGCATACCTCTTATCCTCAGATTGCACATTTGCCTCCTGTCTGCCCCAAGTATTCCTGAGGCAGAGCAAACTGCAGGAGAACCAATGGCTGCTGAAGGGCCTGTGAAACCATCATCTCAGTCAGCCCTGCTCTCTGACTTGTGCAAGACTCCAGAAAGCAGAGCACAGAAAGCAAGGCTGGCTCCAAGTTCAAGAGGGGCAGGGGGGCCTTGCACAATGTGGACTGAAATATATTGGTTACATTCCTGCCCCCTGTGCCATATGGTGTGTAGACAGCCGTGCTGCCCAAACTGCAGCTAAAACAGTTTCTCAGACACATGAACTATAAAGAAGGAATTTTTCTATGATACTCCATAGCCCTAAGGCTGATTCCACAAACATAAGAATTTAAGTCACATAAGAGTAGAGTGCAAAAAAAAAAAAACCCAGTTCCCAGCGTCTCATCCAATGCTTAGAGTGGCAAGAGCAAAATGGGCCCCACAGCTTCACAGCCTAATGAATGAGTCATGTGAACAGGCACTTTCAACAAAACAGTTTCAAACGGAAATTTTGAAAACCAAGTTGCTTGTGGTCGGACTGGGCTAACCATACCACATCCTGTGCATGCTCTTCTTGGCTTTGCTTTTCCTCCCAGGAGCAAATGCTCAGTGGCAAAAATAAGAATTCATTAGTCCTCTCGCAGTTTTCTCTCTGCACGTTTCTCTGTGCTCTTCTACAGTTCAGAGATTCACAGCGTGTGTCGTTTTGGCTGGTTATATCATAAACAATATAAACTAAACCTGAAAAGTAATTTACAGCAATCCATCCTGTTATTGCTGGCAGAAAGCACACAGGACTTTGCTGGGTCTGAAGGAACACCTTTAACTGCTCACCCACCCACACACACACACTCTTACTGGTTTGGCAGCTGCAAGGACCCACATGCTGATATTGGAATTGAAATTTATTTTCGCAGCCTGCAATACCAGGGTGAGAGCTGTCCTCCCAAGTCCAGGACTGATGGCTGGAATTCCCAAGGATGGGGAAAAGTAGGGCAGAGGAGTGATGGAGATCTGCTGACACCTCAGGTTCCTTGTGGATGGTCCCTCATTGCTTAGAAATTGTTTTGTCCTCCCACCCTGCTTTTGGAAATGGTGGGGGCCTCTCCACTGCCAGTTTTTTAAGTGAAATTAAGTTTCTAACTGTGTGTTTTGCAACGCAATACTCATATTAGTAGTGCATTTCTGAGGCACAGTCCAGTAACATGAAGACATGAAGACTCAATGTCTCAGGTACAAAATTTAATTTTTGTTAAGTACCAACAACATTGTGATCTAAGTATTGGCACGTACCTACACAAAACATTGTGAAGGGATGCCACTGTCAGACAGCAGAGTCCCAAGTATAGGAGCAGCAGCTTATACAAATAATTCCAGGAGCCTCATAATATCATTTCATTTTTAAGAAAAATACACAGTATTGCACAATATTATTTGTAACTCAAAAATACCTGCATTTGGGCAGAAGATACCAAGACCAAAGTTTTGCTTGCTCTGTTTTCAGGCAATGCAAGCTGCTGCATGAGATTATTTGAGGAGAAAAAAATTACATTAAATATTCTAATAATCCAGCTGTAAGGCAGTCCCTTTAACAACCTGGGTCAAGACCTTTTGGGAGATGGTGCTTAAAGCTGACAGACTAAAACCATGTAAGGTACTAAATACATGGATTGACTTTCAAAAGAAAAGCTCCTAGAGACATACATACCTGAGAAAAAATATTTTAAAGGTATTTTGAACATGTCTTAAATTAAAGAGATACTGACTGTTTCTGGCCCAGGTGATAAATTCTTTTGCCTAACCCATGTTATTCTTCCCTGGCCCACACAACCACAGAATCACAGAATCCCAGAATGGAACGTATTGAAAAGGACTTTAAGAATGATGCAGTTTCAACCCTCCTGCCATGGCAGGGATACCTTACACTAGATCAGGTAGCTCAAAGCCCCATGCAACCTTGGTCTTGGATGGGACAACTTCCATAGAAGGGGAAGTTTCTATGGGAAACCTGTTCCAATGTCTATCCACTTTCAGAGTAAAGAAGTTTTTCTAATATCTCATCTAAGGCTACTCTCAGTTTAAAGCCATTCCCCCTTGTCCTGTCACTATATGCTCTTGCAAATAGTCCCTTTCCATCTTTCTTACAGGCTCCTTTCAGGTACAGGATGGCTGCAATTAGGTCACTCCTTCTCTTCACCAGGCTGAACAAACTCAATTCTTTGGCCTTTCCTCACATGAATCAGAGAATCTCAAAGAATCACAGCTGAGTTGGAAGGAACCCTTAAGAATAACTGAGTCCAATTCTCAGAGTTGCATACAAGCAAAAAAAA